GAGTTAATGCAGCATTGTTGCCAGATGTCTATAGTTTGAGCTGGAGAAGGGGAGAGAATAGTCTGAAGTCTAGCCAGATTTACACTCTTACATACACACACACACATTTCACACTCCTTGACCTCTTGTGATTCATGGTTAAGCAAGTTGTGCTTGTGTAGGCTGCAGAATATTTTGACTCTCATGCATTCAGTGGTCTAACCTTGTTTCAGGAGTCTGAGGAGGTATATTGATCTTGCTTTGACTTTTGAACCTCTACGTCTAAACTTTGCTCTACCCTACTTGCTATCTGTCTTTCCAAATAACTATTGCAGTTTTGTAATGCCTTATCTTGGCACCAACTTCGAAGTCATATGATAGAAGAGAGAAGAACAATAAAAGAGGTATTATTATTAAGGAAGTATAGTTGACCTTGTCCTGTTGACAATTTCTTTTGACATTGCCGCTGGAGTTTGTAGTGAAAACTTGTGACTGATATCAACAATGATCTTAAGAACTGAGGAGAAGTTCTTGATCTCAGTGAGTTCAGGACCAGTTAAAAGCAGGCTGCCTTTGTTATTTGGTAACAAATGTCGTGCCAAATACCAACTGCTGAATTTAGTGTAAGTGGCTGATCTTGGCAAAACCCATAAGGTACAACAGTGCAAAAAGTCTTACTCAATGTATAACTAACTTCATCAAGTGAATGTGCAATCTAGGAGTCGATTAGGATTTCAAAATTCAAAAAAACATTTAGGAAGAGAAAATGAATGCAATTCAAGAAGTGAAATACTTACAGTTCTGGAACTTAATCACTGGTGTTTCTTTCAGACACAGGAAAATAATGTAATAATGAAAGATCAGATTTACACAGTTGTAAAGATCATGCTCATGAGCTTGGCTGTCTTCTAAGAGTAACGAATTTTAGAGTTGAGAATGAGGAAACCTCTATAGGCTCTGGACACTGAAAAAAAAAAAAAAAGAGGTAATAGTGGTAAAAACCATGCCTTGTATACATATTTATTACTTTTATTACTTCTGGAGCAATGTTTTTTCTCAAAATTGTTAATGTAATTCAGACCTATTTAGGTAATAATAATAAAAAAAAGGATGACATGTTTGTGAAAGTTATACTTCTTTAAATTACTGGAAAGATTTTGGAACTGTTTCAAAATCATTATGCTTTTATGTAGAGAATGGGATGAAGTTAAACAGCAGGGATGACATTATATGCAAAAACATACAAAAAAATACAAATATTGAAGTTGTGAGTAGAGATAGAGACAGTCTCTTCTATTTGTAATTGCTAACAATGCTTTCCAAGAAAGAACAAAGAGCTTGCATATCAGAAGTATTTCTGGATTTAATAAGTTAGATCTAAATTATTTTGGTGACACGGCATTATTTCAAGACCTATGCAAGCAATTATCCAGATATTGCATATAGAAGGGTAGTGGAAGAACAAGTTAACTAAGGAATCTGAAACTACTAGCTCAGGTAAGTAAGTCTGGGTAGATGAAGGCAAATAAAACACGTATTTGGTACTTTTGCAATGAAATTAATTTGGAGCACGTAAAAAGAAATTATTTGTATAAATTGGGAGGCAACAGTTGGTCTCATGAACTTAAGCATATTTCCTTGCTTAGAATTAAATTTAGCTTCAATGAAAACATTTCCACCAGTTTAAAGTGATCATTGTAAGTGACAAAGTATAGACAGAGTTCTGAAATGCCTTCAAAAATTAATGCATTAAAATAACAAGATATTGGATTTAAATGTTTAATGTAAAGTAATTTTGTCTGTCAGAGACAGCACCTTCTTATTTCCTGCACAATACAGAAAAGACAGTGCATATTGTTGAGATGTGCTCTGAGAAAGGAATTGGGCTCTCTGCCATAATAAGCATATTGGGCATGCAGCAGAGAACTAAAGAAGTGCAGCCAGAAAAATCTCTCCAACTGCTGCTAGAAACAAGAATTTAAGGCATTTATTGACTTAAGAAGACTTGCAAAAAATACTAGTCTGTGATATAAGAATGGTTAAAACCATTATGCTCTAAAATGTTAAAAGAGCAAGAAGAACTGCTTTACTACTACTGCAACTGGATTCAATTATTATTAATATATTTTTAAAAAATAAGTATTTTAAAATTGGAAGGACTTATATGTAAGAGTGATTGTTACTGACATCTAACTGCAGTGATAGAAAGTACAGTTATAAAAGTGTATAATTGGATATATATTAAGCAGGTAGCTATGAAACCAAGACAAGTAAATTGAAAATGGCGGGTGCACACTGAGTACAAGTAGTAGGGTAGTTGTTATGGAAAGGGCTCTTATTTATGACTGAACTGCTGGAGTACCTAACTTCTGTGCTCTGTCTTCTCTGCATTTCTGCTTCTTTTCCTTCAGGTTCTTGAAAAGTAGAAACTTTATCAAAGTGCTCAATACGAAAAGTAAAATCGTAAATACTTGCTTATATAGACTCAGTAAAAGTCTAGATAGCATACATGTGCTTTCCTAAAGTAGTTTCCTGATAGTAATTTCTATGTTTAACCCAAATATTTCTTTGAGAGCATAGGTTTCTAATTGTATTTCAATTCTTTTGCAACTTTTGTGCTCTCTTCTCATTCTTTGGATAATTATACAGTTTTGTGATCTTTGCTTCAGAGTAAAAATGTTAAAAGTATATCATTGATCTAGGAATATACCATTAATATATGGAAGGCCATCTATCAGTTACAGTTTTGTCTTATGATTGGTGTACAATCAGTCCATTTTGAATGGTTTTAATACAAGTGAGTTTGGACAGTGTTCCATTAATACATCCCTGTAGATTTGCTGTAGGGGTCCTTTGAAGATGCATAGAATTATCCCTACTACTGCTTAGCTCAGTATGTGAACATGCCCTTCTGCTTGAGCTGCTCTGTATTTTCTGCTCCTCTCAAAAGATAGCTGACAAGAACAGTTTAAAAATAGCAGGCCAAGGGCAGGTGACAAAATGTCATGCAAGCAGCACCTGGTCCAGTGACTGCCTGGAGGGAAGAAAAAACCAAACCCAGATGTCACAGATACGATCCTATTTCTGAAGCTGGGAAAACAGCAGAATTTCAGCTTGAGCAAGGGAGGATTGAGAACTCTTCCAAGCATTATGCATTTGATTTCTACTCTTTTTTTCTTCGTAGCAGTCATCTTTATTCCTTTACTACAAGACTTAATTTAAAAGTGTAGGTTATTATATATGCCTTTTCTCATAATAATAATAATAATAATAAAGATATACTTGCTACCTCATGCTTATTCAGTATGCTGCTAAGCAAAAGGAATTACTCTGGCAAGATTTCTGAAATATTTTAGCACAGGCTTATACTAACTGAACTAATAGCAGCTCTAATGTTTCTGCAGTGCCAGATTAATGTGAATATATATTGTGAACTATAAAAGATTAGGTCTGTAATGAGAAAATCTGAAGTAGTTAATGAAGATCTCTTTAAGAAGCCTTGCTCAAGGAGCTAGAAAATAAAATGGAAATTTTATTTGCCTCCTTTTTCTCCCACTCCTTTCTGCAGGCGCCATTTCCTTCACTATACTCTTATTGTGGAGGACTTCTTTGTAAAAGAATGAGAAAATGATAATGTGAAGATTTATTTGCTTTTCTTAAACTGCTTGTGACTCTAGTTTCAGAATTGAACTGAAACTTTGTGTTACATCTGTTCGGAAAGAGTATTAATTACAATACAGCAGTCTCTGTGACCTGAAATAGAAAGCTTTAACATACTGATAGGAGCTAAAAACGTTGTAGAAGATCTACTTTGGCTCTGTTTTGTCATAGCGTTTTGTTAGAACTTGGTTTTGTAGTAGTAGAGAAAAGAGTTTGCACCAGAGGAACTTCCTGGTTTGTGTTGTTATATTGGAGTACCAACTTAGTGAATAAATGCAAGCCTTCTACTTCTTTGCCTCCTAAACTTACCCACAAATCTAAAGATACACAGAGCACATAAAAACGATTACAATGCTTGTAGGTAACTGATGTTTGTAATGGAAATATTTTTCTACAGGGCTGTAATAACCTTTTAAATCCTTTTCCAACCAATGGCTGAATCAATTATATTTTTCTAATTGCAGTGGTGGTAGTGGGTGGTTACTGTAGTAACTAATGTTACAAAGTTTCTTCAGAGAATGTGTTTAATGCTTTAAGTCACTTAAGACTGGTCTTAGTTTCTAATACTACTTAATATTTATCAAGTTAGCTCATTTATTTTTTTGACAGTAAAAATAGGATTTTGTGATCTAATTCTCCTCTAAAACAAGATAAATATCGGAATTGTTTCCCATCCCCAGTTCGTATAGTCAGTGAAAATCTTCTTAAGCCAATCTTTAAACTGTTAGTACTATTTTGCCTCTCTTCTGGGACTCTTGCCACCAGCAGAGTACATTTGACTTTCTTAATGAGCCTGCTGTATGTCATGGCTCCATGTTATGGGTCAAAAATGCTTTTCAAAGTGCAGATGAGTTTCTGTACTCCGCTAGAACAAAGCTTTGTCCAACACAGTATCTTATCTCAAACAGTGAGTAATAGCAGGTTGAAGCATAAGCATTCTAGCCACCAGTGATCTGTTCCTAGTGTCACAGGTAGTATGGAGAATTGTGACTTATTTTTACTCAGTAAGGAGTGTTTATGTAATGCTATTTTCATTTGAAGCCTATAATAAACTGCAGCAAGTAGAAGGCTGAGCGTTGAGACCTTATTTTGAAAGGGTAAATGTAATACTTACCTAGTACAAAGCAAAGGAGTTTGTTAAATACTTCTCACTGTTCTGTGACTCTTCTGTATTATAAGAACATAACGTTGGGGGTTCTACAGTGTTACACATCTTAAAAGTGTGCTCTGAGGGGTTATCTGCAGTAGATGGAGGCTTTGGCTACCCTGAATGTTCACCACCTTCAGTAGTTTTTCACATTAATAAATTGCATCCAGTTTTGAAATAAAAACATTAAAAATAGCTTCTATTTGTATTACAGGGCGTATGGGAATAAACTTCCATCATCCAGGAACGGATAATATTATGGCCCTTAACAGTAAGTAGCTAATACATAAAATCTGATATTACTATGTTGAATATTCTGATATGTTTATTGCATACAATAATTGTGATAGCTAAATATCTGTAATCTGAATGCAACATAGATTATAATGGAAACTTTTGTCATAAATGGAAATCTGCAACAAACATATCCACAGAAACATTCATTTAACTACATTTTTGCTTAGAATGCTATATTAGTCACAGGTGTTAGGATTAATTTACTCACTACTTTTTTTTCTTCTTTTTTACTGTCTGCATAAATCATGTGGTGTATTATTGATAGCTGCAGATATTTGGTCTTCACGTATGTTAAAAAAATAACTGTTACATGTAAAGAGTGGAAAACTTGTAACATAAAAGGTGCAAGCATTTTAAGATTTTGACTTCTAGTGCCAGGCTTTGGAATCAGTAAGGCTACTTGTGCTCTCATTTAGTTTTACACATTTAACAATGAGATGTTTTTGCAGAGTTTCTGTAGTAATGGTTGGAACATGTGCCTATATCAAAATGAGGCATATGTTATAGGAAATCATGTCATTAACTGGGGGAAATGCTCCTTGTAATTAAGGACATGACTGAAGGGGAAAGCTGGCTGCATGTGGGTGCAAGTCCTACACATCCCAGTGCTGTTGTTTGACAGGAATTGTGGTCTCAGTGCATTTGTTCTAATGTGGGCATTTCAGTTGCCAGTTGTAATAGTAAAACTAATTGTGAAGATGGGAGGCTATGATTGAATTTTGAGTTATTCTTGTTTGAAAATCAAAACCAAGTGCTTTTGCTATGTAATACATAGAAACATTTCTTGTAGAACTGGGAGTTTTGAAAAACAGGAATGGAAAAAGCCATACAAAGCACTGTTTTCTGCCTTACTAAGAATGCAGAAGCCATATTAATTGTTCTGTGAAACCTGTTTATTTTTGTTCTTAAAACTTTGGAGAGTTGAATAAAATCAGGTTTTGAGGTACATAAGCTTAAAAAATTGGCTTCTGTTTGTGATTTTAATCTTAGAACTACTTAACCCCCATATGATCTATTATCTTTGCCATTGGGAAATGAGCTAAGAGAAGTTAGTCCAAGAAGAAATTTACCTTCCTCTGCTGAAACGATTGTGATCTGGATTTAAAAAAAATAATCTCAGTGATTTCATTCCAGTAAATTTTGGAATTCGCATAACTTCTTTAAATCATAGTACTTAAAATGTCTGCATGCCCACAGTATTTCTGAAGCTGGATGACAACTCAGGCTCATGCCAACAGGAGCACAAAACCTCTTCCCTACCGTGCGTTAAATATTTTAGGGGATGATTGCCTCTTGAGCTTCTTCCCATCCTTTATAGCAATTCCCATCCTTTATAGCTTCTTCCCATCCTTTATAGCAATTCTCAGTTGTTGGTTATACTGGTCACTGGTTACTGTCTGTCACTGTTGAAGGAGGCTGTTTTGTTTGAGGCAGTGTGCAACTTGCTGCTTAAAGGACCTTAAAATCTCAGCCCCTTAGTTGTCAGGGCTTAAGTACAGAACATATAGCCACCAAATTGCTCATCCCCAGGCAAAAACAGTGTCATCTTGAAGCATCTTGTTCTGAAACAATAAAATTAGTGAGATAGAAAGATTTCTTGTAAATGCGTAATTATTATGAATTTATTGACATTACTGGCATTACTTGTATGCAGACAAGTTGTACATGGGTACAGGGTAGAGGTGCTCAACGTTCATAATGAACATTAGACTTTCACTGAGGAATGTGCTATTCAGTCCTAAAGACTGTTTAGGAAAAGTGAGATGAGAATGTTTACATTTGGAAGCATTATACAAAGGGGAAAAGCTACTGTTTGTCTATATGCTAGTGCTCAGATAATTTGGTGATTACAAATCAAATTGTCTTTGTAAATATTACATTACTGTATCCTCTACTACTACTTAGACAAAGAGTGTTTTTGTTTATTAGTGTATGATTAGTTTCAAAACGTAACTGTTATACTGCTGAATTGAAATTCTCATTTAATCAAGAAATGATATGTTTGATTTTCTAATAATGTCATTGATATTGATCTAAACAGTCAATAGAAGAACTTTTATGAACTTTCATCTACAGTATTTTATTAAGTGCAATTGACAGTGTAATTTCTAGGGAAAATGGGGCACAAATGAAATTACAAATATCTTATTTGCATAAACACGTCTGAAGTTATAGAAACCAACAACTGACCTGGATACTTCTTGTTAGATATTTGCAATCCTAATTTAAAATAATCTTTACAGTACTAAGAATTGTATGTAAATTAATCTGTTTGACCAAAATGAACAGGAAGGTGTCCTCTGTCCCCTTATCTTGCTGGTATTCATTCTTATTTTTAGTCATAGCTTTCTGCAGCCACTGCTCTAATGGGAACAGTGGGCTTGGGCGTTCCTTTGAATTAACATATGCTCCTTTTGAATTTAGCTATACTTGGACTGAACAGTCAGCATGGGGACACAGTTACCTGTCAGCTGGGTGGTGAGCCGTCCTTAGAGCTTCTTGTTTTTGCTGGAAAGCCAGCAAGTTCAGTGGAAGGGAAGTAGACAGGGTGAAAAAGAGAGTGGTGTGCATTCTATTACTCCTTGTCTTTGTTTAAGGAAACACAGTATTGCTGGGTTACAAAGCTACCTTTTGTAAAATGAATTTAGACTAAAGGTAATTGAAAAACAAACAAAAAATACCCGTCAACCAAAAAACAGCCAACACCTTCCCACTCATTTCCTCAAATAAATAAATAAACTCACACCTCTGAAGCGCTGGGATTTTGTTTTTCCTGAAGCTGCTATGCACAGTGACTTTGCAGTGCTGCTGGGCTTCAAATGTTCCATCTGGTACCAATGTTCATTCTTATCTAAAAATGTATTGTCTGTGAGGTCTGGTGCTGTTTGCTTGTGATTTGACTATCTTTTCATTTCTGCCATTTAGTTCTATTTGTCCCTAATAAAATAGCTTTTAAAATATTAAGGTGGTGCTTTAGGGCACGTTTTTAGGTGTATGTATAGAGTTTGTTTAGATTTATTACAATGAATAATAATTATGGGGGGAAATCTTCAAGCCATGACAGAAAATGGAAGCAAAACAAAGTATTTTCATGTTCCTAGTGTCTTCTTACAATTCTCTTGTCTCCTTAAGAGCTATTGTGCTTTTCTTTTTGTGTGTTCTGATGCAATGTATCCAAACATGTCGTATCTAGACATAACAAGCTTGCTGAAATATCACTGTATATTTAATCTTCTGCCAGTGACATACATATACCTTGAAATGAACTCTTCTGAATAGAAAGTTTATTGAATTATTTTTCTCTTGCAAAACCTTTAGTTGACAGTGTACTAGGTTTGTATAGAGAGAGGGAGGTTTTTGGCAGTGAGAATATTATATTCTCAGAAAATATGCAGCGGACTTCTAAGAGGTGTCAGGCTGTCCTGACAATTTTGATATCTATCTATTGGAATTCTCTGACCTTAAGCCCAATTGTCACATCAAGCTGCAATCAATTACTGATTCATTTGCATATGAGGAATAATAGAAAAAATAAAAGACACTGAGAAAGCTACATTAGGTCTGTTTTTACAATCCTTATTAATCTAAGAGATCAGAATTGATTTAATGGGAGGGGAAAATGAATGATGGAAAGTGTGACACAGCAAAGACAGCAGTGCTATAAGAGTCCCAGAGGGTGTGACTGTTACTTCATACATAACCTTGTTACCTTTTTCAGAATCAGCTGTACAGTTAGGTTTGATGCTACCCTGGGGACTGTAAGATAGTTATAGTTATATCAAAGTTCCTTCTATATTTGTTTAATTAAAAAGAAAAAATGCAGGCAGAGAAAAGGTATTTTTTCTTTTTCTTTTCCCTTCAAGTTTCTTTCTATATATTTGTATTTTCTGGGACCTAATTTAGCTGTCACTAAGAGCACTATTGCTTATCAGTGATTGCCAAAGTATCTTTGTAACAGAGGAAGATTTCTTTACTTTTCTTCCTTTTAGTTCCACTTGCTAGCTCTGTACTACCTTATTTTTTCCTCACTACTTTTCCTGCATCTAAACCTCACCAATGTGAGGTTTTCTTTCAACCGTGTGATCCTCTATTTTGGGTGCATGCCATCTGTTTCTGCAGCATTTCATGATCAAGATTTGCCAGGCTTTTTCAAAAGCATTATATATGGTGCTAGAAGAGATGGGACTGCAGTCCAGAAATGTTTGGTAGTTTGGAAGCAATATAAAGAAGTTTCCATCAGCTTGGCTGTTAGAAATGTGAGCTTTATCATTAATCTACTTTTAAAATGAAAACTAAGAAATGAAAATAGGAAAGTCTTCTTTCCTGCACAGATGCCTGCTTACTAACTGTCTCTGAAGGAAAAAAAACCTGAATACAGCTTGCATATGGACTGTATTATTCTGAAGGTGGTATTCAGTAGCATATGTATGCTAACATACTTTACAGAGAGATTTGTTGTAGTAATCATTTGCAGTGTGTCATTGGAAAGAAGTGAACCAGAAGGGGCTGTCATACCACTACATTATCACAACACCAGTCTGCACATCCAGCTCTCAATCAGTGGAAACTAAGAACTATCTTTTGAACCACTCTCAAATAAAAAGCTCATCTCAATTCCAGAATCTTAATTATTTGCATTGTATTTTTTTTTCTTTTGAAGACCTCCTTTAAAAGGAGTGGAAGATGAAGATCTTGCTCTTTGTCAACAGCTTTTTCAGCCAAAGAAAGTGGAAGAAAATTGTTTTCTTAAACAAGCTCATCATCATTCAGCTCTTCAACAATGAAACATGCAGAAGTAAAAATAATTTTAAATACCCCTAACAAAATGGGGAGAATAGTCTGAGGGTGGCAACTTAATATATAGAAAACTTCATTTGTAAGCAAATAGATTTCTGCACATGTAAAGATCAGTAGAAACATCCGGCAGGGAAGCCAACATTTAATACAGTGAATTAAACTGAATACTTTTCTCTC